GGGCAAAGTGCGTGTGTGTGTGTGTGTGTGTGTGTAAAGTGCCATCAAGTCACAACTGACTTATGGCAACCCTGTAGAGTTTTCAAGGCAAGAGACTAGCAGAGGTGGTTTGCCATTGTCTGCCTCTGCAACGTAACCCTAGACTTCCTCAGTGGTCTCCCATCCAAGTGCTAACCAGGGCCAACTCTGCTTAGCTTCCGAGACCTGACAAGATCGGGCTAGCCTGTGCCATCCAGGTCAGGGCCAAGGATATAAAACAGTGCCGTTCCAGACAGCATAAATGAGCAATGCAACAGGCCCAGGATCACAGAATCAGGGAACAATGCCAGCAGTGTTTGACCTAAGGCTGATATACCATAAACAGTTCAGAAAGTGGATTGCAAGGTACAAGACAATACAGTAAAATTCAAGGTTTTATTTTGTTTATGTATCTGGAGCATAGATACCCTGCCTTTCTACCAGCATTGGCATCCAAGATGGCTTCCACTAAGGATTACAGTCAAAGCTCAAAAAACATGACAGTTGTGACTGTAATTAACCCAAACCCTTCCTCTCTGTGGTGTTCCTGAAGGTACTGCAGGGGGGTGGATAAAGCCACTTTATGCAACATCCTTAAAAACAAACAAACATAAAGATGAGTGACACTGTCAAAGTTGCGCACATTAAAGTTGCATGGATGTCAGTGGTTTCTTTCTTTCTTTCTTTCTTTCTTTCTTTCTTTCAAAAGCCCTCCATAAGATAATGGAAAATAAGTTGTGTTGCCCTTTGGGTAAGGGGGGGATGTATAGTATGTGTATCTTTGTAGACGAGTGTGTGTCTTAACAAGGTGGGTAGCCGTGTCAGTCTCTCTGTAGCAGTAGAAAAGAGCAAGAGTCCTGTAACACCTTAAAGACTAACAAAATTTGTGGCAGGGTATCAAGAAGTGAGCAGTGACTCATGAAAGCTCATACCCTGCCACAAATGTTGTAAGTCTTAAAGGTGCTACTGGACTTTTGCTCTTTTCTACTGCCTTAACAAGCCTTCCCAATTAATGCCATTGTTGTTTGAAGTAGGTTCACCTGCATATGGGACAAGAAACCCACGCTGCTTCTTTGTTAGATTGCTTGAGAGGAGATGGCTTCGGCTGGACACGGTCTGTTTCGTTTCATGATGACCTCCTAATCAAGGGCTGATTCTATTGTACGGTTTCTGATGAATTCCTGCTTGTCCATAATTAAGTGTGGAGGAACTGGACTGTGCACCCAAAGCCAGTTTGTATGCCATTGCTGTGGCGGAAGCAGTGTCAGTTTTGGGACAGTTGAGTAGGGGTTTCTGCACATTACACACAGTAGGTTGAGGCAGAAGAATACTGGATCGTATGTCTTCATAGTCTAGGCAGGAGGTAATTTCTCACCTTAAAAAACTCCCTGCATGTAGTAAACTAGCACATTAAGGGCTACATTCTCTCTGGCACTAGTTTTCTTTATGCAGGAAGTTTGACATGAAGGGGGGCGAGTAGAAGTGGACCAATCCAAGATTCTACCACTACATTCTGTGCAGATAAGCGTATAACATTTCTTGAAATTGCAGCAGCCATACCTGGCCGGGTATGTTTAATTCTCTAAATCCTCAGTAGTGTACATTGCATGGACTCAGAAAGTTAATAAAGAGCTAAAATTACAGGAACAGGATTTTTTGACCCTGGTTTGAGAATCTGTGTGTGTGTGCGTGTGATTTTCCTCCCCCCTTGTAAAAACTGCTGCAAGACCATATTCGAATGAAAGAATCCTTTCAAAATATCTTGCATGAGAACGAACCTTTCAAAACCTTAATGATTTGTTAGTAGCTCTTAGTGTCTAGTGGTGAGCTTCCACAGTTACCCATCTTTTACCCATCTGCCCATGCTTTTATCTTTCTTTGAAGGTCCTGCACTATAGATCCAGGAAGAAAGAGGCCATTTATGCGGAGAGCCACCTTATTAGTCCTCTGGAAGTATCTGTAGGATTGCCCTCCAGGGTGTGTTGTTATGCTGAAATGATCCCTTGATAGATCTCTTCCTTAACATAATAGGGTCCATTGTACACTACAAATGCTGAAGGACCGAACTTCATTAGGATGTGTTTACATTGTCTGAGGCTTAATAAGAGACTGATTGCAGTGACGGCCCGTTGTACTTGAGTGTACTGGCAGAATGGCAGAATGTTTGTCCCACGTGATTGGAGGTGAATGTTGGGGCTCATGGTGAACTGCAGTTTAGATCAGCTTGAACATTTTAGCAGCGTTAGAATCACATGTTGGCTTGTTTTCTTGGAGTGGGAAAGAAATAACAGCATTCCTGTGAGCAAGAGACTGTGTGCATTAGAGTGATTGAGAACCAGAATGGTGAGCCACAAGTTCCCGGGTCTGATCTGAGTTCGGCAAACTGGTGTTAAGCAAGCCTGCTTTTCTCTTCTCTTTCTCAGCTATCATTTAAACATGACGCTGGTTAAGGCAAAGGCTCTGTCCCATGGGATTTTTAACTTATACTGGGCCTTGCTGAAATGCTTGCACAGTGTCTGAACCAGGCCAGCATCTGTGCCAGGCTGCCTATTTTAAAAGAGGTACTGTATGAACATCTAAATCATCATCCAGTGAGGATCCTTAACCCCACCTTACAGGTTTGCTGCAGTGACTGCTGAGATAACGTGTGGGCTTTGAACGCTTGGAAGAGCTTTGTCAGTGCTAAAGTAGTACTCAGTTTCTCTGAGCCAAGAATATGCTCTTTAAAGCGTTTTTCGTTAGCAAACCAGCTCTTGTTTTCTTAGTGACATAACTGAAGGGCAGGGAAAGGTGCTGTGTGTACCTTCAGCAGGGGACGCAACCCAAGAAAAACACTGCCTTGGTTATTAAGAGAGGACTTCACTTGTCAAATGTTTGCCTGTTCTTGTGTTGCGTGTAACATAAGTTGCAATACAAACTGCCCTTATTGCAAGTAGCGTGGGTTTTTAAGCAGGAAAGTGCTTAGATGCTGCCAGTTTCCCCACTCTTATGTTCGTGTGACCGAGTGCTCTGTCGTAAAGAAAGATTCCTTAAGCACAGAAAAGAAGCATGTCCGGGAGAAAGATTCCTGCCCTTACAATGTACCCAGTGTCTAAAACATTGCAAAATGGTTGAAATGCAAATCTACGGGTTGGATTCAACCAGCTTTTCTGAAAGAGGAGGAGGAGGGAGGTCCCCTTTGACCCCTGAGAAATCCTGTGCTTTCTTCCTGACGTGGTAACTTCTCCACATGCAAGGGATGTTTCTGAACGGCTCAGCAGCCAGTCAAAGAAAAGCTGGAAGCAGCACAAAATCCAGCGGTGATTTCTGCTGACAAAAGAGGTTCCAGAAAGCAGAGCAGGTCTCTGTGACCTCTCCCGTTCTTCCACAGGCCAAAATGCTCCCTTGAAATGCTGCTTCCGGAGGACCTTAAGGGTGAAGGTTCTGCAGTGGAAAGTGGGGAGTTGATGAAAATCGCCCCTCCATTAGTGGAGATCTACTGCTAGGTCCAACCCATCAGATCTTATCAGCTGGCTAACAGTCCTGTTCTTCCTGCGTTTTATTTTGATTTGATATCTACCACTTCCTCTTCTCAGCTCTCGGGAGCCTTATTTGGTATCAGACAACCGCCTGGATCCATCCCAGAAGTGTTCAGGTTTCAGTGTCTTCACTTAGATGTGCTTTCATAGTGAAACCTGACATGTAAACGGGGAGGACAAAACAGTGTTTGCCTTTAATAAGTCATTTGATCATAAGAAGAATAATTAGAATGAAACGCTCCTCTGGTTTTCATTATCAGAACAAATGTGAAAAAAATGAAATCAATTTAAAGAGATTTTTTAAAAGAAAGGCTCTCAGTCTGGCATACAGCGCTACATCAGTTTAGCATTTCAGAAGTGCCTGTAGAAATATCAAATAGACATTTCCATAATTTTATGAGGAGTGAAGGTTATCAGAGAATGACGAAGGCAAGGTCTTGAATATGATGAATATCCTAGCTTATTTCAGAGGTATTGACATGAATGGGTGATCTTTTTCTCTTATTTTTTTCAAATGACATACCGTCTGAAAAAAATCTTTTCCTAGTTGCCCGAACTAGTGTCACCTGTTCATCATCACTTGGTTTGTAGGAAAGATAACAAACTACAATTTGCCCTCTTTGAATGTCACAACGAACTTTGATTTCAAAACCAGGAGGTTTTCACTGTGTGAACTGCTTGTAAGGGAAGGAGGGAGGGACAAGAGCAGGTGAACCCGTGAACTTCCACATCTCACGGCTGTAGCCACAAACTGCTATGGCTGAATGTGATCTAGTGCTAGGGTTGCCAGCCTCCAGGTAGGGCTTGGAGATATTCCAGAACTGATCTCTAGATGACAGAGATTAGTTCCCATAGAGGAAATGGCTGCTTTGGAGGGTGGAGTTATTGGCATTATGTGCCACTGAGCTCCCCCCCCCAAGTCTCCAGGAATTTCCCAGCCCAGAATTGGCAACGCTACCTAGTACTCACAGTGATTCCTTAATTTCACAGCCATCTTTAAGCCGATTGCTCCTTAGAACAACCAGGAAGGTCCTCTTCTCTTGACAGAATCGTGTGGGTATTGAGGAACACATAGCGGAACCTTCATAAATCTTGAGTCTCCCTCGATGACACTGACTATTTTGTTTTCATGAGTAGTGACTGGAGGAAGCATTAAACCTTATTACCTTGGAGAGGAAATGGTTCCCCTCGCCTTTCTACGGCAGTGAAATTTATGTTCAGGGCAGACCGTTTTCCAAGAAAAATAATAGGGAGGCACAAGCTAGAGCACAAAGAAAGTTTTCAGATGAGTACAGAACGTTTCCCAAGCCTGAACAACAGATTGACTCTTAGTTGGGTCTAAAGTTTTTTTGGAACACAATCTAAATATTGCTGGTGTATAACCATGTGATTTCCGGAGACAGTACGATGCTTAATTCATTTTGAAAGCACTAAGTTGCATTTATTACCCTATTTCTCTTTCAGAACGTTGCAGGAAGATCTTCTGCTCAGTGATAGCGAAGATGGCGAAGATGGCGAAGATGACCAAGTCAGTGTGTGTATATATGTATATCTATCTATCTCTATGGACATAGATCTGCCAGTGCTGCAGATAACACATTTTTAAAGCTTCGTGACGTTTTCTCCTTCCAAAGCTGCGTAAACTAACCTTCCTCCCCTCTTCTCTCTCCCTTTTTTGTTTTTTGTTAAATACTCAGGTTTCTGATAAGCCATCTTCCTCATCCACTCCTCCAAGGTAAGGTTTCTTTGGCAAGAGCTTACTAGAGTAAATAGAGAAGGAAACAAACATGATATGGGTTTGTTTGTTTTTAATGTGGTATAAATTCTTGTGGGAACAGGGCAAAAATGAAAAGAAAAAACAGGGCCAGCTAAAAACCTCCCCCAGGTAACTTGGAAGGCTGATTTGAAAAGCAGGATAAAACTGCCAAAACACATTTTTAAAAAGATTGCATGGTATATGTTGGTTTGCTTGGCTTTGGACAGACGATTTAGCAGGTTCAAGAGAAGAGGAGTAATCTTAGGGTCATTCCCCCCCCCCCGATTCATGGAGAAAGAACAGAGAGAAATATGAATAACAGTAGTAATGCATTTGAACCAATACACTTTCCCACACTTTTTTTTCCTCTACTCATGTCTTGAAGAAGGGAGCTTTGACTCTCGAAAGCTGATACCCTGAGAGTCTTGTTGGTCTCTAAAATGCTCACTGGGCTGCAATCTTTTTTCACAAGTAGCCTAACACTTGCGGACAGACCAGGAAGGCCCTTGTGAGTTAAAGCTTTGTGGCTCAGAGCTGGAGAAACAGTGATCTGCCTCTTCAAGCCCTGTAGCTGAGAGATGACACCCTGTAGGGAGAAAGCCCTGCAAAGCCAAGATTGGACAGAAGGCAACAACCCGGCTCAGAGCAGTCCACAACACTGTGTCGAGGGTCTCTGCTTGCCCTTCATAAAGCAGGGGTTGAATCCATGCTTCTAAGCGGTCATGACAGGTTGTATTTTGCGATAGCTGACATTGGTACATGTCACAAGCGGGCGGGGGGGGAGCATGTTTGGGTGTTTGTAGGGGCAGCTTTCAGCTTCTTCTGCTAGGGAACAGCTGCTTGTCGGTTTAAACTCTGAAACTTGGAAATTCAGCCCTTTAGGAGGTTAGTCCTCGGTGCTGAAGTGGGAGGCCAGGCAATGTTCCTTTGAAAGCACAGGATCTGCTTAGCCTTGAGTGGAAGCAAAGTTACAGAAAGCCAGTTTCACTGTCACCTGGCAGCGTGTGGACCGCCCCTGCACAGTCATTAATCTTTCCATGGGGGGGTGCCTTCCCCTCCTTTTTTGAATGGGGAAGTGCACATTTCCCTGCAGGCTTGGAGATTTCCTCCTTGGAGTCCAGCCTTCTGGTTTCAGCATCCATACAGGGGCAGACCAGTTTACTATTAAAGGGTTTGCCTTAACCATGGTATGCAATGGCACAGATGTAATGCAAAATAGTAGTTTCGGGTGGGAAGAGAAATTTGATCTGGAGAGGGAGGAATGAGGGGCAAGAAGCTGGCATCCCCAAGGCCAGCTTCCGATTGGGCAAACCACAGATTACAGGGAGCCATCCTTGTGTCTGCAGTAGCTCCTTGGGTTGCTACCATTTTTTCTGGCAAAGATCCTTTGCCTTTAAGCTGTGTGACATATCGAAAATGAAAATGTGAAGCTTTCTCCATCACTGTCCCCCTGGTCCTGAAAAGGCCTCGAATTTCTGCTTCATGCCACTGTTTAAGGCACGTGAGTCTCGAAAGGGGAAAAATCAACATCGTATAAACCACTGTGGCATGAATAGTGCATGCTGCATCCGCCTGCCATTCTAGTATCATTGCTGTCCCTTGTGGTGCTGCATGCAGCATCCTAAGAGTTTCCTGAAAAGGCCATTGGGAGCTTGAGAGTAGGGCCGGCATCATTTTACTGAATCTCCCTACCTTCTAGAAGTTTAGAAGAGAGTGCACTCAGAGATTGTGTAGGTGATCTCACAACAGCCCCGTTAGGTAGGTTAGGCTGAAAGATAAAGGCTTGTCCAAAATCTCCAGGTGAGCTTTATGGCTGCATGGGGGGGTGTGGTTTTGAACACTCCCGTCCATGGTCCGAGTCCAACTCTGTACCTCTCCTGAGATGCTAGTGCTTGGATTGGTTTAATCATAGGCCAGGTCCTTTGAATTCGTATTAATGATACTCAGTCTTATCCGTGTCTGAAGCTCTCATTTAGCATTTCAGCCCCTTTTGGAAATGGGACATTATTCCAAGTCTCGGTTTTCACATTTAAGTGTTCAGTAGTTAAGAAACTATTTTTTCCTCTTCCAAGTGCACATCAATGACTGGAAGTTTTCACCCCGTTCATTCTGTTCCTGGGTTCCCCTTTTCCCCAGGAGCACCATTTAAGGGGGTATACTTCGGGCTGCAGTAGGAGGCAAGGAGCACGCCAGCCCCATTCTGCAGAGAGAAATCTGTCTGCAGATATCTCTGTGAACCTAAGCCAATATCTGTTTACGTAGGTCTTAGCATGGAATGCAAGTGTTCTGCACTTGTAAGGGAAATCAGCTGGTTTAACCTGTTTTGATCTCCAAGTTTAAGGCATTTATAAACACAGGCAGGCCAATGGGGAAAGCCAGAATGGCTTGTAAAAAACTAGGAAGGAGGTGAAGAGATTAAATCCAGGAAAAGTTGCAGACTCTAAAGGACTGTGCTGTGAGAATCGCATAACCGTACCCAGAAATCCCCACTGGACATCTTGTGTGTGCTCTTGCCGCATGCGATGCTTAAACAGCATCTCCCAAACAAGCCTCAGGATGGCATGAAAATGAATGCTTCTAAATACAGACTGACTTCTTGGCCTCGTTCCTTTGCAAAGTTCAGGCAACAAAGTAATGATTTGCAGTGCCGGAGCTCAACGCTGGTCATTATCCTACTTATTTTTGAAAGGCAGCTTTTTATGATGTAAGATGGAACAGTTAGGGAAGTGTGTGCTTTTAAGCGACAGAACACACACCAGTGTAGGCAAAGGGGGGAAAGTGCCTATTTAAAAGGAGGGGGAAAGAAAGAGAAATCACATGAAGCTGCCTTATGCTGAATCAGACCCTTGGTCCATCAAGGTCAGCATTGTCTACTCAGACTGGCAGCAGCTCTCCAGGGTCTCCGGCAGAGGTCTCTCACATCACCTGCTTCTTGATCCTTTCAATTGGAGAGGCTGGGGATTGAACCTGGGGCCTTCTGCATGCCAAGCAGAGGCTCTCCCGCTGAGTCATGGCCCTCCCACTCAGTTCAAGAGATCAAAATACGAGTTCAGTCTTTTGGGGGGAAAGCATGTATTGAGCTTGTACAACATCCCCTCTCCTTCCTGTTTTATTCTGTTTTCAAAATGAGTTTTAAATTATGGAGGAAGAATACATGCGAAGGAGTTTGCATGGAAGTTTAAGCAGAAATTGCAAACGGAACTGAAAGCAGGTAGTGAGTTTTATGCAATGGAGGTGAGAGCAGGAAAGAGATTGGCATGTGCACTGCAGGAACTGCTCCAGTCGCCTGACAGCCAGTTATACCAAAGGGCTGTTTCTCCCGTGCTGACCACGTGCATGCTGTTGGAATTGGAGAAATGGCCTCTTTATTTTATTTTATTTCCTGCAATTTATATCCTGCCCTCCCCACAAAGCAGGCTCAGGGCGGATTCTAACCTATAATAATCTGCTGAGCGCAAATTTACAACATAAAAACGGAATAACAAAGTACATACAATAAATACAAGAATGTTAATTGACTTCACTTTGTCTTTATGTTAGAGCAGTTCCACATTTTACGGGGCAAATGCAATTACTGTGTTTATGTGGAGAGGGGGCACAGCTCCTGAAAGTGCAGAAGAGGTATATCCGGAGTCAAGAACTCTGGCTCAGGGAGGGTACGTGGCAGCAGTCCCTCCATTCAAGCGTGTACAGTAGTTCCTATAGATGCTTATTACACACAAGGATAGATGGGATTGTTAAAATGGTCTAGGAACATGCTGATCAAAGGGCCCAACTTGCATATTATGAAATTTAGCGTGCTGGGTCCAGACCTAACACAGCAGCTGCAGGGAAAGGATTTTTTAAAGTGCTCAAGGGCCCAATTCAGCTGTGCACTTGCATTTTTAAAGTGGCGTGCACTTCCATTTCTTACAGCTGCTATGTGACTGTGGGGAAGGCAAGTGGGGAACCTGAACCTGACTCTCGAACATCTCTACAATGGGAATATCCCCGGATTATTTAGCCCCCTTTTCAGATAAACAAGCCTATGTTATTATTAAACAAAGATTTCTTGACATCGAAAGGCAAGAACTTAGGGAACGCGCAGCCAGCAGATGCTCCCCAAGCAGATTGGGGACTTTTGACATGGGCTCTACTGCGAAGTATCTGTCAAGTTTAACAGCCCCATATAATCGCAGAGCATACATGTTTGCACGCTTTAATGTTCTGCCATCAGAGGTGCTTTTAGGGAGGTACCGCCAGATATCATATGTAGACAGACTTTGTCCTTACTTTCTAAAAGATATAGAATCCACTATACACACCATACTTCATTGCCCCCTCTATAGGGATATCCGATCTCGTTTTATGACTCCATTTCTAGAGGGTAAGAGCTGCACTCTGATGACTCAATTGTTCACTTTCTTCTGTTTAATTCTAATTGCGAAATAATGGAGGCTGTTCTGTGGAGTCTTGTGAGCAAAAATCTACTTTGTGAGCTACTGGCATTAAAGTTGTGAGTGAGCGATTTGGCTACTGCATAAATTTGTTTGCTCTGGAGCCATTCTTCCTGAGCCAAGACAAAAATCTGTGAGCTGGAGGCTAAAAAACTGTGAGCTAGCTCACACAAACTCAGCTTAGAGGGAACACTGCCTGTGTCCCTAGTAGGGGCCATCAACTTTAATTGGAACAACAGTAAAAGATGGGCCACCAGTGGTGTAGCAGGAGGGTAAGAAGAAGAAGAGATTGGATTTATACCTTGCCCTTCACTACCCAAAGGAGTTTCAGAGTCTCTTACAATCTCCTTTCCCTTCCCCTCCCCACAACAGACACCCTGTGAGGTAGGTGGGGCTGAGAGAGCTCTTTGGAGAACTGCTCATGAAAGAGCAGCTCTGAAAGATCTTGTAAATGACCCAAGGTCACACCAGCAACTGCATGTGGAGGCGTGGGGAATCAAACCCGGTTCTCCCAGATTAGAGTCCGCACTCCGAACACTATACCAAACTGAAGGGGGGAACTGGGAGAGAGCCAAGGAGCCCCTCTCAACCCAGCCAGCAATATTGGCATTCAATTTTGCTTGTTCTTTGCCACCAGCAGCCAAAAGGCCGGTCCACCCTGCTTGCCAGTATGGATTGCTCAGGAAGAGATCCTGGAGTATGATCATAGATTCCCACTAGTATCTTATAGATAGAATTATCCTAGGAGAAGGCTGCATGGATGACGGTATTGGGGGGGTGGGATCCGCAAGTTTGCCAGCACTTGGAATCATTCCAAAACCTTTCCCATGAAGGCAAGTGCTGTACCAGCGGAGGGCCTTCATTAAGTTTAAGAAGCGAGGTTCAGTTCCCAGCACGTCCAGTCAAAAGGATCAGGTAATAAGTCACGTGAAAGACCTCCACCTGAGACCCTGGAGCTGCTTGCCAGTCTGAATAGGGAATACCGACCTTAATGGACCAGAGGTCTGATTCAGTATGAGGCAGCTTCATGTGATTCATCGCTAGCAATTAGGAAGGCTCAGACAACTTGTTTCCCAAAGGAAGGTCTTCTGTGAGGGAAACATTGAGTCTCTGCTTCTGATGTGGCTTGCCTATTTGCCAGAGCGTAGCAGCAATTTGTGGGGGGGAAACAAGGATAAAAACAGGATGCTGCAAATAAAAATGTTTCTCTTAAGACGCCCACCATCTATGTGTTTTGAACTTAAACTGGCCTTCCCCTCAGGGACTATGCCTGAAATCTGGAGAGCTTTTTCTTGAGAGTAAGCTTTATTAACTAAGATGGGTGTACTTCTGAGTGGACTTGCTTAGGATTGTTCCCGTTATGTGCCTTGGAGGACATATGTTGTAATCGTCTCTTCCTTGCTGGTGCTCATCTCAGGCAAACAAGATTTTCCAGAACCCTTACGAAATCTTGTCTAATTATTTTACATGTTTGAATTTTCATTCCTTTTTTTTTAAAAAAAGGATTCTGTAAGATCTCTTCATGGTTGAAAGTAGTCAGCATCTCAACATATTCCATGCATTCCCCAAACAGATGGTTCATTTTCTTAAAAAATCAAAGAAGCATAGAACCATTTGCTGAACTATAGTTCTATTTTTATATATTGATGGTTTGAATGTTCCTGATAATTGTTGGGGGGTTATACAGTATCTTTAAACTTCCCAAACTTTCTGTTGATGCATCACAAGAGGGATTAAGTCTTAATTTATTTAAATATTCAACTGAAAGCTGGTATATGTCTATAATGTTGTTTATTTTTAATTGTGTGATTTTGTTGGGCATAACAACATTTTGTTTTTTTTAAAAAATTGGTTTTCCTCTCCAGTGAACAGTGGGATATATAACCATTTTAAGTTATGGTTCTAACATTTCTTTTTTACACCGGTGATGCTGTGTCACTGCGGGTCGAGGGGGCAGGGATGGAGAAAGACGATCCTTCCCAGTTTCTAATTTTATCCCATGGTGTTGGCTTGCAGTGCCCCACAATCACAGCCCGAGAGTGTGGCATTGGCACATTCCAGCAGCCCAGAGTCTGAGAGCACGAGCGACTCCGACAGTTCCTCGGACTCCGAGAGCAGTTCCAGCGACAGCGAAGCCCATGATCCCCCCACAAGATCCTCCACGCCTGAGGTAACCATGTCCACGTTCTGAATGTGTGATCGATATGATGGGAATAGCCAACATGTACTCCTTCTTGGGCGTTTGGCTGACTAGATCATCGTTCTCAGGGCAGGGTCTCCAGCATGGTACCCGCCAACTCCTTTCCTTGTGCCTACCAAGTCTTTTAAGGAAGTGGAGAGGAGCAGGTGTGACTTTTGGCCAGCAAGGGTTCTGATTGGCCGTTGGAGGTTTGATTGACTGTGCGGATTTTGGAAAATGTTTCTTTGGCAGTAGCTGCCACCACAGCATGCGGATCTTCATTGTTTGACGGAATGTAAGCTGCCACAGCCATTTTGTACCTGGCTCCACCTCCTGCAGCATCCATTTTGTAACTGTGCCCACCATGCTGTGTCAGAATTCCAAAGGTGCCTGCAGCCTCAAAATGGTTTCCTCTCTATGGTGCTGTTGCTGTGCACATGAGAGGGCCAGCATTACATGGGTTAGTTCAGATATAGCGCAAAACCATGGTTTATTTTTAACCATAGGTAGTTTGGGAAACCATGGTTTGGCTTATAGACCATCCATCCCTGTCCTGGGTTTCATCAACAAATGTTGGTTTGGTCACCGTCCCTCTTTCTCCCATCCGCCCCACAGACACTCAGTTGGTATTCTGGACTGCATTGCAGTCCCAGGGACTGAGCCAGGATGCCGGTGTTTATACATCACATGAAACCACAGTTAAGGCTGACTGCATTGTTTAAAACCAACTTCAGACCATGGCTTTAGGTCTGAGACCCAAAACTAACCACGGTTCGTGGAGCTGTTTGCATTCAGGTGATCCCACTAACCATGGTTAGTTTAAGGCCCGGTTCTGTGTGATTTTTGAACCGAGTCAGTATGAAAGCCACACATAGAAATCCAGTTCACTGCTTCTGTCATGCCCCACATCTAGAAATTTGAGGGGAGGGCGATTGTAAATGAATACTAATCATGCAGAACTTCAGTTGAAGTCATCCGCTGTGTTCAGAGTTATTTAAATGTATTAGTAGTGCAGTCCTAAGGACACTTTCCTAGGAGTAAGGCCCATTGAGTAGACTTGAATAGGATTCTGAATAGATCTGTTTAGGATTGATCTTTAAATCATTTTGATATAATATTTTAGCAGAAGTCCCCGAGTGTTAGTCACTCTATCACTTAGAACATTGAAAAACCTTTTCTGCCATTGGGTAGAACCGCTGCCTGCACGTTGTCACTTATAATTCTCTAAGTAAAATGGATACAATTGGCTTTTATTTTAGTTTTTTTAAAAATAAGGTAAGCATTTGGAAGAGGATATCCCTGAAGAGCCAGGCTCTGTGGCCACATGGTAGCCATTTGTATGCACTGCGCTGTATAGATTGTGCAGTTTTTCACCTTCCTTTTCTGACTGTAGTCCTCCCTCCTTAAACAAACAACATCTGAACAGAGATTAGATATGGAGCATGACCTGTTTTGATTGGGGACTTCTCTACACATAAAAAGCTCTTTTGAAGTTCTAGTTCAAGTCCGTTCGCCTTGCTGTGTTTTTAACTAATTACTTGCTTATTGGATAATGGCGCTTTTTGAAATCAAGTTTAGTCCAAAGCTGTAGAAAGCAGGACTCTGCCTGGGACGTTAGAAGGAGGATTCTTTTCCCCGCATCCTTTTTTTCCCTGGGACGTGGCTGGACTCCCTGTGGTTTTGCTTGGCTTGGGTGGTTGGATTTTGGAGGCCTTGGTGACCTACTTGGGAAGTAGGAAAAAACACTACAGCTCCATAATTGAAAACAGACATTTTGAAATCGCTTCAGAACTAATAAAAAAAAGTGTTGTGGGTTTTTTGTTTTAAACATCATCAGCATAACTTCAGGCCTAGTGCCATGTTGAAGGGGACTCTGGGATAATACTAATGGCTTCTTTTAATGGATTACTCTTCTGCCATCTTGAACTAGTACTGTGGTACTTTAAGAGTGAATCTGTCTGTCTGATTCAGGGGGATCGGGGCTCTCTGTTCTTCCATTTTACCATCACAACAGCCTTGTGTGGAAGGTGAGGTTGGAAGAGAATGATTGAGCCAGGGTTTTCTGGCGAGTCACATCAGAAGGGGGATTTGAACCCAGATCCTAATCCAATGGAAAGTATCCTCTGGGGTTTGATGTTTTATGATGGACCCATGTCTAGCCCTTACTGTCAATGGAGGGGGTGTGCCACTATTCAGTCTGCAAGTGAAAGTGACATGATTAAATATTCCTCATTTTGTGTGTGTGTGTGTTTAAAAAATCCAGATTTATAGAAAACTAGCAAATCTTGATTGAGGATTCTCACCTGGCCTCTAGTATGCTAGTTTTCTGCATGCATGGAAGAACGTTCCTTCATGACAGGCTGAAGTACAAATCCCCGTAGCAGGATTATCACCTCTGGGAGAAATAGGCCAGTGGGTGACCCCCCTTTTTAAAGCTCACCTGGTGATCTAGGATCCTACATTTGATCCGTAAGATGTACTCCTCCTGGTATCTAAATGGGTCTAGCTGTTAGATAGGTTATACAGCTTGTGGGTTGAGGAATTCAGCCAGGCTCTGTATTAAACTTGATCTCAGGGGTCCTCCTCATACTTCACAGTTATCTTTTCCTCACAAGGCACAGTCATTTAACCCCTTCTTCCCAGTGTGAACCCCAAGGGAGGCTTCCCCCCAAACTCCCCATTACTTGGGCATCTCAGCTGTTCATTCCAAGGCCTAGTCTGTCATGGTGTGGAGTATTGGACTAGGGTCTACAATGCCTGGGTTCAAATCCCTGCTCTTCTGTAGAAACTCATCAAATGTCACTGAGCCCATTTGGTGTAGTGGTTAAGTGCGCGGACTCTAATCTGGGAAAACCGGGGTTGATTCCCCATTCCTCCGCTTGCAGCTGCTGGATGACCTTGGTCAAGCCATAGTTCTGTCAGAGCTGTTCTTGAAAAAGAGCAGTTCTCTCAGAGCTCTCTCAGTCCCACCTACCTCACAGGGTGTCTGTTGTAGGGAGGGGAAGGGAGATGAGTCTGTAAGCCGCTCTGAGACGCCAAGTGAAGGGCAGGGTATAAATTCAGTCTCCTCTTCTTCTTTAAATTGCTCAGCCTAACCTTAACTCACATGGTGATTGTTGAGAGGGCAGAGAGGAGAATGTGAAAGGCCACTTTAGATCATGAGTAGGGAGAGAAATGGGATGTTGATAAAGAATAAGTATGTCTGCACATGCAGGGGAAAGGGTTGATAGGGAGGACTGTGCCATTTTGCTCTGCCGGCGAGAGACATAATTTTTTAATAATGAAAAATATCCCATGCACACTTTTAAAAAATTAGCGCATCATGCCGTATCGCAGTCTGCCCCATATGAATGACGAATACCCTCTAAACCTCTCCATTCCCTTTCCGTAGCCCAGCCCACCGACATCCAGTAGATGGCAGCTGAACAACTGGATAATAAAGGTGCCTCATCCAGCGTCTCCCACAGAGAACTTCCTCGAGGATGACCGCAGTAGGTCCAGTCTCCAGGAGAGTAAAAAACAAGGCAAGTCGTTCAGCAGCAGCAGTAGCAGCAGCGGCGACAGCAGCAAAAGCGAATGTCCCCCCCAGCCGACGGAGAGTCACTCCAAAGCCTCTGGCAAAACGTCCCGGTCTGCCCCGGAGGGGCATCTCCCCACCAAGCAGAGCTACCAGAAGTCTCCCGTGCACTCAGGCCGACAGACTGTGGGCAGTAAGCAGCCCAAGAAGTCCAGTAAAGCCTTGGTGCTGGAGGAACAGAAGGGAGGCTTGAAAGTGGAAAGTGAGCCACTCGGCCTGTACGGGGCTAAAGACCAGTCTTCCAAAGACAAGCCCAAAGTAAAAACGAAAGGGAGGCCCAAGCCTGGCGACAGGAAGGAGCCGAAACCCACAGCGCCAGAGCCTTCGGAGAAGAAAAAGCACAAGACCTCGCACCACGCCACTGTTAAATCCTTTCCGGACCGCGACACCGTAAAAGACAATGTGGTCAGCAGCACCCTGGAACAGTTGCCCCTCAGTCCCATAGCTCAAAGCCCCCGGGTCCCTGCCGTTGGCAGAACCAGTGGTGCAAAGCCGGTCACGGTAGCGCGAGAGGACCTCCATAGGGACAAATTTCTCTTGCCAATCAGGGATAAGAAGTTGCTGTCTCCCTTAAGGGATTGCCCGGTACCTCAGGCTCTTGTGGTGAAAATTGAGCTTGCCCTCCTCTCGCATATTCCACATCCTGGCCGGAAGGGGAGCTGCCCAAAACAACTCGAGATCAAAGAGAGCCATGATGTGAAGAAGCGGGAGGTGGAGCGGAGGAGCGCAGAAATGCCAAGCAAGTTCCCCAAGAAGAGGAAGGTGAGGGGCCATGGTTATTTAAAAGCTAGACATTTTTCAGAAGTCGCATAATTCGTTCCTTCAGTTGAACACTGAACCATTCGTAAGAATGAATTTCAGAATTGACCTCCTGCATATATGTGAGCCTTGTCTTAGCTGTCTGATTCAGTATTGTCTACTCCGGGAGTCCCTAACACAGTGCCTTGGGAGCCATTGCACCCTGCTGCACCGTTCCTGGTGCCTACCCATGTATTTAGAAACTGGTTGGGGCCAGGTGGGACTTTCACCCATCATCGCTTCTGATTGGCCACTGGAGATTTGATTGGCTGTGCAGGTTTTTTTTAAAGTTGCTTTGGCAGTAGCTGCCACCACAGAACAAGGCCCTTCATTGTGTGTGGCTAAAGGTAAGCTGTGGCAGCCATTTTGTGGCTGCGCCGCCCACCATGCTGTGTCAGAATTCCACAGGTGCCCACAAGCTGAAACAGTTTGGGGGTCCCTGGTCTACTCTGTCTGGCAGTGGCCCTCCAGAATCTCAGGCAGGGAAGGGCTTTCCCCAACACCTGAAACGTGACATCCTTCAGCTGGAGACAGCAAGGATGGGGCCTTCCTTCTGTGTGTAAAGCACGTACTTCACTACAGAGCCATGTCATGTCCCCTGTATACATGAGTGGGATCCTGGCCGGCTGTGTCCATCTGGGAACGAGACGGCAGGTAGTTTACCAAAATAGTCACTCACTGTGAAAAAAAGGCAAATTCCATGACGAGGGATTATTAGAAAAGGGTTTCAAAACAGGATGAGCAATGTCATAATGCCTCTGTATTGTTTACAATGAAGTGCCCTTGCAATATGCTATACAGTTCTGGTGCTCTATCTCTGTTACTTCTCTCTGTTCAGAGGCAGTCTCCAAACTAAAATCCAGCTAATCTTGTTCATGGGAAAATCCATGAGGTCAGGAACTCTCTTTGGGACTGTCAGAACTCATTTTAGGTGTGATTTGCAAGCCTTACTTCATGCATTTTATAAAACAACCCCCCCCCCCCCCCCCCCCCCATGGGCACGTAGCCTCTACAGTGGAATCAATTTCTTGCAACTCATCTGTTGCTGTTAGTGGAAAACAGTTATGCACCTCTGGGGGGTGCATACATTCTTTTCTGTTAACAGCAGGAGATGGATTGCAAGAGACCATTCCGGCACAATCACTTTTTCTACTTTGGTTTTAGTTTTTGCAGATATTAACGCAGATCTTGGGTTGTAAATCTTAATGTCCAAACTGTTTTCTTTTTGGGGTTGGTTAGATGTGAGCAAATTTCATTCTGAAGAGACAGCAACTGTCCTTCGATATGGTTGTTTGCACACAGATTATTTGCTCTGTGTTCAGTGCTGTTGGGAAGTGGCTTTTCACCCACATTTCCCCTCAGAATTATGGTGCATTTGTCCACCTCCTGAGCTTTCCATGACTTTTCTCAGATCTACTCAAAACCTGCTTTATTCCAAAGTTTTTGGGAAAGATCACAGCATCTTGGGTTTAATGGTGGTTTAATGGTGGTGGGTTTAATGGTGGTACTTGCTTGGAAGTGCAGACATTGTTCAACAAAAATGAATTGCTTAGGTGAGAGGTGTCAAACTTGTTTGTTACGAGGGCCAGATCTGACATAAAGGTTACTTGGTTGGGCCGGGCCATGTCTACTATAATGCCAGGTACTGTAGATATAAACCTTATAAATGACACAGGCAAATCCAATTAGTGATATTATTTTATCATTATCAAAATACAAATGAAAGCAATTGATTCCTAGGAGTGAAAGCAATTGATTTGGTGGGGAATCCACAAAAGCCCCAATAAATGTTGTTAATCATATGCAAGACTAGTTTTTCCCCAAGGGATACCATACCCACCCCCAGCCATTTCATTATTTGACAGCTTTGACCAAACCCACCTCACGATGTGCACCCCGCAGCCTCCTGCCTTCCCTCTCTCTCATCAGTTGCTCATGGGCCGGATAAGTGCCCTGGATGGCCCCCGGGCCACATGTTTGACACCTATGGCTTGGGAAAAGAGATGGCTTGAGGCTTTGGTAAGCATAGTAATTGTTCCTAGGCCTTATGGCTGAGATCACATAACATGTTCCTGTGTTTGCGTGCCTCGCTTGATATAGGATATACCCTTTAAAACTTACCCATGAACCTCTGCCTAACTGTAGCTCAGACGGTGGCATTTTTCTACTGGGAACACACATCTGAAATTTCTTCGGCCTCCTCTCCTCCTCCTCAGCTCTTCCCTTATATCTGATTCCCGTTAAAATGACTTTGGAGGATCCACATGGGTTTAACTCTCTGGCATGTGTGTGTGTTTTCCCCTCTTTTGGCAAGGCAAAGCACGATTGCCTGCCATTAATTACTTAGCCAGGAGGAATTTTATGTGTTGCAGTTTGTGTCTCTCTCTGCTGTCTTCATATAATTCACACTCGTAAAAAACCCTGTACCCAAGAGGAGGTTTAACAGAGTCATTTGAACCATTTGCAGGTCAGGAAAACGTCTTGTTGTGTGGGGCAGATGGAACACCAGACTGATGTCTGGCGTTGTCGGGCAAGTCTGGAAGGAGCCAGAGGTGCAGGCACTTCCCTCTGTTTCTAACTGTGTTCTGCAAGCTTGCTGGTGTTTTTCTGGGTTTTGGCAACCTTATGGTTTGCTATTCGAAGCAGAGCAGAAACAGGGTTGACCCTGGTTTTCGGGACAAGCTCAAATTGCAGTTTCATTAAGGAGAAATTGCTTTTTTACCAAAAACTGGACCATAACTAATTTCATTTTTGATGTACAGATTGGGGTCAGGGAGGGAATGCGTTAAACTACGGTTCCTTCCAGACTCATTCGCCTGTTCCCCAAACCATGCCAAATGCTTCATCGCTTTTGCACTTAATAGATCCAGATTTATATTTCTCTTGGAACTCAGAATAAAACGTTCGTTCTCCTCCCGCATTAAAATATGGAGATTCCTTGAATACTAAAGATTATTAAATGAGTCCCAATTAACTTCATTTATACCCCATCTTTCTCCTCAAAGCAGCTGACATTTTTCTCCTTGCTTCAATTTTATCCTCACAACAGCCTCGTGAGGTAGTTTGGTCACCCAGCAAGCTTCCGTGGCAGAGTGGGGCTTTTAGTCTGCCACTTTAACCATGACACCACACTGTTAAGATGTTCAATTTGTTGTTTGTGATTTTATGTTGGGAAATGCAACATTAAGTCAGTCCGGGTCTATACCTCCCATCTCAGACATTTTTTAAAAATTTGGGCTTATATAGTGAGCCCTTGAACATCCAGCAATATTTCCTCTGCACACTGGATCACTTCATTACAAATTAAGGAATGTGCAACGGGTTCCTTTGCCTCCCCCCCCCCCCGAAATCGTCTCTGGCAGAACCTCCTTCCACAGCCCTCAAGCTTGTACAGAAGGAGAAACAGCTTTGCCTCCTCTCTCTTCTTTAAAATATATTTCAGTTTCTTAAGAAAGCAGAATAATAGTACAGAGAAGAAGACGAAGGGATTGGATTTATACCCTGCCCTTCACTACCCGAAGGAGTCTCAGAGTGGCTTACAAACTCCTTTCCCTTCCCCTCCCCACAACAGACACCCTGTGAGGTAGGTGGGGCTGAGAGAGCTCTTGACAGAAACTGCTCTTTTTCAAGAACAGCTGTGCCAGAACTATGGCTTGCCCAAGGTCATCCAGCCAGGTGCAAGTGGAGGAGTGGGGAATCAAACCCGGTTCTCCCAGATTAGAGTCCATGCACTTAACCACTACACCAAACTGGCTCTCAGAGGGTATACAGAAAGGAAAAAAGAGGGTTATACAACATAATTTTGCATTTCAGCTCTGCATACGCATCTTGGCTCTGAGGGACCCCTCAGAATCGCTGCCCCCCACCAATTTGGTGCAGTGGTTAGGAGTGCGGACTCTAACCTGGGAGAACCATGGGTTTGATTTCCCACTCCGCCACATGCAGCTGCTGGTGCGACCTTGGGTCAGTCACAAGTGCTCTCAGAGCTGTTCTCTCAAAAGCAGTCCTCAAAAGAGCTCTCTCAGCCCCATCTACCTCACAGGGTGTCTTTTGTGGATAGGGGAAGGGAAAGGAGATTGTAAGCTGCTCTGAGACTCCTTCGGGTAGTTAAGGGCAGGGTGTGAATCCAATCGCTGCCTCCTCCCTGTAAATAACCCTTGAGATTTTATTCCCTTTGTCCGAAGAAGTGAGCTTTGCACACGAAAGCTTACACCTTGAATAAAACTTTGTTGGTCTTAAAGGTGCCACTGGATTCAAACTTTTTTCTTCTGCTTCAGACCAGCAAGGCTACCCACCTGAATTTTTTGTCAAGGACAATCATATTTAACAGAATGTATGAAACATGAAATATTTCTCTCCAGCAATCCCCTTCATTCTAATTATTAAGGTATTATCTATAAAATACCATAGTCCTTTATTCTATTGGGTTACGTTTATCATCAACATCTTAAATTTCAAACTTCATAACTATGTCTGTTTTGCAACTACATCATTGATTTCTTCATTACTGCAATGAACTGCATACTCGGTATTTATTTTTGCAGGTATATGATGTATCTCATAATAAGGAAATTAGGAAAAGATACTCTCCCCTGAGTCCACTTCCTTACACACATTTATATTCAGGCTATTAAATTTAAAAGAGATTATTATTCGACTTCTGTCTCATTAACATACATTTGTTTATAATGTTTTAAACATCTTGTTGTAAGTATCTCTTGCTTGCATAGTACAGATAGTATACCCTCCACTTCTCAGATTTTGTAATTGACCTGTTTCTCAAATACATTGTTAATTTTGCCATTCAGCAAGTTTGTTTTCCCAATCTTCTAAGTGCGGGCAGACATCTAGTTTTCATTTTGCTGCATAGATAATTCTAGCTGCTGTCACCTTGTATTTAAAAATCTCTTCTAATTTTTTTGGTAATGTGTAAGGCAGTATACCTAGTAGCCCTAGTAGCATGTTCTCGATGTCCATCTGAAAAACATTTATACCAATTTTCTCTTAATATCTGGCTGGCTGTCAATTTGATATCTTTTCCTCATAATTGTTCCCATTGTTGCATAGATATCTGATCTTTGAGATTTTGTATCTATTTAATCATACTTTTTTTTACTTGTTCTTCTGTTTCTAAGATCTTATATATCCATTGTACTAAAATTCAGTCACATGTCTTAGTACTCCACCTTCAGTGTTTATGATGTTCTTTAATCTTGGGGCTAATTGATAATATAGCAGCCATTGTATGTTTATACCTTCATCGATATCTTGCCATAATTTGATTTTGCCCTGAGCATTTATCATCATGCCATATGTTAAAAAATCATTTTTGTTTCTTGTGTTCTTATCATGGTACGCTTCTACTGGGGACATAAAAGGAGAGTTTAGGGGGCTCAGTTATTCCAGCATGCAAACCATATTCCCAAAACTCCATCTCTGATTATGTGACTTTTTCTTGCGCTGTAATCTTTTTAGTTGATTTAGTTGATTTTGTAATCCCTAACTAATGGTGTAAGCCTTCATCCAGGTCTGCGGATTCTAGTTTTACTATTCTTTGTCTTGGGTTTTTAATCCAGACCACAGTCCAGCTGAGCCTCATGTCTTGTGGTTCATGCTGCTGTGGAAGTGTGTTGAAGAGCCCTTTGCCTGTGGGCTGTATTGCAGAAGTTGGTGTGGTGAACTTTATATGTCCCCGTGTATTCAGTTTTCCCTCTTTC